TCTGAATGCCTTGATAAGTGCAAATAAATCACAGACTAAGTTATTTTCACCCTGCAACTTTAAATTCATATGGTTCACCAGATCAGCAAAAAATGCTAATTTCCAAAGCGACTCGGCATCTGATAAGCCATCGAACTGCAGTATAATATGTCAGGTCATTAAGCCCGGAATCACATTTACCAGTACTCATTGGAAAATTAGTTCAATTGGCGCATTTCTGCTCAATTCTTTCGCGGGCCGTAGTTTGGAAACACTGGTCTAGATAATGTGGGACTCTCAACGTCTCACAACCCTATGGGCCTTCACGGCCTGTTACAGGGATAGCTTTATTTATTTATTTATTTATTTATTTGTTTTACTGTGAGAGGGCGAGGAAACTGCCAACCGCGATTTCCGAGAATAGTTATCAGCCAGAGTTGAACACATGTTGGTGAATAGAGCAGCGCAAATTGAGGAAACGGCAACGCAACTCGCGGAGAGACTGAGAAACTCAATTTTCAGGCAACGGAACATGCCAGTCTTCTCACACTGGTTTTGCAGCGTCGTTTCCTAGTATCAGCTGTTCTGTAATGCCCATTAGTGATTCATTTGATTCTGAATATGGCACGAAAGGTCGGCGAAGGTACTAATTTTGATTTCGTGCAGTTAATTGAGCAAGAGTCTGGTATATATGACAAATGCCACTCAGACTAAGCTAGACGGGACAATATAAATTTGATTTGGGAAAGAATTTCTCTTGAGACGAAGGAGTCTGGATCCAGGTTAAGTTCTTTCGAAACGACATAAGCGCCTCAGTTTAGATTGTCACAGAAGAACTGACGCATGCCATGTTTTCTACCCCTAACATTATATTTAAGCATCCTTTTGCATTAATATATCATTTATTTCACATATATTTCCGTCTTAAATACAATTATTATATAGTCACCCTTCTTCCACATTACACGGTTCGCCTATATACGGCCATCATCAGGTGTCTTCTGGCTTACTAAAATTGTTACACTGTATGTCAGAATTGCGTATCGCGTGTGAACGCGTTATTTCCTGATTAAAATTAATTGACCTTAAAACAAATTAACATCACAATATTCCTCATATGGTCGTCGTGCGCCTGCTAATCTGGAAACCAGTTGCCTGCTTGAAATCGGCGACATCTCAGAAATTGCGGTTGCTTTGCGGTTGTCAGTTTTCTTGGTGTGCCCTCGGCCATAGAGTTAAGTGATATATTAAGAAATTGCGGGCGACCGCTATCATAGGATAAAATGTAAGACTGTGCTACAGAGGGCCGGATGGGCATTGCATAGGCCTTTTTTGTATATACATTTATTTTTCAAAATAAAAAAGCATTTCCTTTGTTGTCAACACTCTACCATAGCATACTCGGACACAATAACAGACTAATTGTAAAAATTAGCAACCCACCAAATGCAAGAAGAAGATTGAGGGGACAGTGCCGTCTGACCTACTACAACCTGCAGATGACGACGATTAAAACCATCACCATCCTGTACAGTACTTTTTCAGAGTATCATTAGTCGATGACTTCTCTACTCAAGAAACCTACTTAGAACAAATATACTTATTACTCCATATTATCGATAGTAGATTGTAAATATGCTTTTAATTGAATAATAAAAAAATATTAACACTAAAAAAAATGTTGCTTGGCAACGGCCCGGTAAACCCTTTCCCGCTGCAACAAATATATACGCAACAATAAAAGTACTGTTTGACGGGGTGTTTTCTGTGTGGTCCGCGTTGTAGGACGTATTCAATATGTAGTGGAAGTAAGTAATTCGCTGTGTCGCCATCAGTTAACACTGAGTTGCGTGTCTATAGGTAAGGGTCCAACATTGAGTTGTGTATCTATACGTAATGGTCTGTCATAAATCGAGAGTTTAGAGTTCAAGTAGGCGGTTAGCCGTGAGCCGTTGAACCCGGAAGCAGAGGAATCACCATTGTTGGAAGCAGAGAGATCACCATTGTTAGAAGCCGCTACCAAGCAACGATTAGTGAAGATATAGCAAACCAAGAAGATTTAGTGTGCAATGTAGTTGCTGGTAGAATGTGGGGATTAGTGAGAGTGTTACAATTAGTACAGGAAGAAGAGCAGTAACAGTGCAACGAAGAATGCAGATAAACTAGGCTATGCAGAAGATTGCATCATTATAAAATGTTTATTATGCTTGCAGTTCAATTTTTCAAAAGTTTAAGATAGTTGAAAGGGTTCACATATATAAGCATAGTGATGCTCTCCACAAATATTGGCTGCATGCTTCTCTTCATTGTAGGCTTTATCTCTGGCATATATTCATATGATGAATCAGAAACGAATTGCCTTGAGAAAAATCGCCTGACTGGATCTGAAGCAGAAGACTTGCACATGATCGTGGAAGCAATGTCAAACCAAACGGTGAAGCTGGAGTGCCATTTTTGGTATGAACTATTAATTTTTAAGCTATAAATATTTAATCCGGGGCTATAGATCAATTAATCAATCTATCAATTAAGGATCCTTATTGTGTCTTGAAATTATTTAAGTGTGCATAAATCCATATATAAAGCCTTGGTCAAAATTTAAAACTGAAAATGCTTAGATACTTATTGGAAGAATTAGATGATAATTAATTGCAATTGAACAGCTGAAACTGGAGCATTGTACACCTGATGATGATCCGGTGTGTCAAAATATGTTGTGTCTGTAAAAACAACAATAAAAGCAAATGTTGATGCAGTAGTGTCTTCTTTGTTTGTGAATAAAGAATATTGTTGTATAGACTGCATACCTTATACAGGGTGTTTCACGAAGTTTTACCCCCACTAGGGAGGACATTCCTGAGGTAATTTGGAACAAAAAATGTTAATATACTAATCGTATCCAACTCATAATTAAAGAGATACAGTAATTTGAAAACTGTCGAAAAATCTTTTTTTCTTTGAATTTCAGTCAAAACAAATTGGAAATACAATACAAACACTTTTTAAATCGTTAATGTTTTAGGAAAGAAGCATTCTAAAACCAAATATTTTTTTCCAATTTCTTAATTTTGCATTGTGCAACATTTATCATCGATTTTGTGTTACAAAATTACATTATTTTCAGCATCCCATTCTGTAAACATACCAATGGTTGTATATCACACCCTTCTATCAATCTGTTTCCTTTAAACTGTAGTGCTTTAGAAGACGACTGGACTTACATAACATTTTCAAAAATGTCTCCCTGCACGTCAACACAATGTGTCGCACACGTATGAACCGCTCTGCCTAGCTACCTGTGCGCAACATTCAAACCGGTCTACCTTATCTGCTGACATAGCTAACTGGAACGTATGGTCACCCATACTGAAACATAGCGCTGCATTCACAATGATGCGTTTCGAAAATCTATCGTTACTCCGTAACTATTGAAAATCTACTGTAACCGCTCACTTCCTTGGGCCCTTTACGTTGGTCGCCACTCTCTCTCACTGCTCACTTCTTTGGGTTCTGTTCGGTAATCTGTAGAGCTGAGTTCCTATCCCAGGTCTTATAAGGGTCTGGCTCGGGCAGGGCAGGAAGAACCTTTCTGCTTCAATCACACACACACCTTTAGACCGTTGCCCTTAATGGTCATTTAATCCCTTCCAGCATACTGAATATAACTGAATTTATTAATACACTTAATTTGGACTTTACTTATACTACTTTACGGAAGGGCCGCAGTTGTA